TTTATAAAACCCACGGATCCTAATGAAGTTTTTTACACAATAATCTCATTGAAAAATTCAAAGTCGGCAGGGTATGACGAAATTAATTCCGACTTATTGAAACGTATTGCTCTATTTTTATCGGAACCTTTGGCTCACATTATAAATCTATCTTTCGAACAAGGATGTTTTCCAGACAAACTTAAGTTGTCGATAATAAAGCCGCTACATAAGAAAGGGTCAAAATCTGACAAAAATAATTATAGGCCTATTGCTTTAACTCCAGTCCTATCTAAAATCTTTGAAAAAATTATGATCAAAAGAATAGTAAGCTTCCTAGATAAATATGACATTTTGGCACCGGAACAATTTGGTTTTAGGAAATACCGATCAACGCAATTAACTACCTTCACCCTAATAAACAGTATCGTTAATAATATCAACCATAAAATCCCAACATTAGCTCTACTTTTAGACCTCCGCAAAGCATTCGATTTTGTTGATCATTCAATACTCATCTCGAAACTTGAGAAATGTGGAATAAGGGGATCTTCATTGTTATGGTTTCAGTCATATTTAAAAAACAGGAAACAATTCGCTAGGATTACAAAATTTGATACTAAAACAAATAACATAGTTAAGTTTGACTCGAAACAAAGGATTAATTATACCGGGGTGCCACAAGGTAGCATCTTAGGGCCCCTTTTATTTCTTATTTACGTGAATGACCTTCCACGTGCACTCACACATGATTGTGTGTTGTTTGCAGACGATACGACCATCATTATGGGCTGTAAAATATAGATACCTATGAGACGGAAATATATAAAACGTTAGAAGATGTTATCCAATGGTTAAACATAAACAAATTAAAAATAAATATTGATAAAACGAAAATAATTAACTTCAAAACTTATAAGAGTAAAAACATGGAATTGAATATTACTTACAATAATTCAGTTATACAACAAATAAACACCGCAAAATTCTTAAGCATTATTCTCGATACACATCTTTCATGGAAAGAACATATTAATAATTTATGCATAAAAATAAATAAGTTTGTTTTTGCACTTCGAAAGGTAAAAGACGTGACAAGCAGACATACCTCTATTATGGTATATCACGCTTACATTTGCTCCATTATACGATATGGCATAGTTGTCTGAGGAAATTCCTGCCACATCACGAGGGTGTTTAAAGCACAGAAAAAATGCATAAGGGCACTGTACGGCATGGATTGGTCGGAATCATGTAAACCGACTTTTAAATCAAATAATCTACTAACTGTTCCCTGCATATACATCTACGAAACAGCTAAATTTGTTAAATACCACAGTCTTCTCTTCACCGCTAACGACAATACATTTAAACGAAAAATTAACCACATGCCATTAAAAATGCCTGCGCCTAAGCTAGAACTGTTTAAAAAAAACTGTGCTTATATAGCACCTCTAATATATAACTCTGCCCAAAGGAATGACTGACCTGCCATATAAAAGGTTCTGTTGTGCCTTGCGAAAATGGCTAATCCAGGAGAGTTTTTATACTATTAAAGACTTTTTGAATAATAGCACTTGCCGATTTGGTGCCCACTAAGATATCAGATCTTTCTTTTTATTTCTTGTATCTTAGTCTATTATAATAATTCAATAATTTATATAATTGTAATCATGTAATTCAAATAACTGAATTTTAAAAGATTGTTATAATTGCAATTAAAATATTTCTTATGAATTGTTATTCAAATAGTTCTAATAATTGTAATTTTATTCAAATAATTGTTGTAAATTTACTATGATTTTGCATGCCCGTAATGAGGGTGAAATATGTACTGTGCTATAAGTTACTTTAACATCTTGTGTACCAACCATATTTCTTGCAAATAAATGATTTATGATTTAAAGTAGACGGTAAATATTTTCTTATGACTGAGGGGAGTGGCAGTAATGTTACTCTAAGCATTGAAACGATTCAATAAATTGCTTGATAGCCCTTAATTTATGCAAGTTTTTTGCAGAAGTATGATCGCCGCCTCTGTTTTCCTTAACAACTGATCCTGTGATAGCAAAAGTTCGAGAAACAGTTCTTACTCTCGAACTGTAATATTCAAGATGTGAACAAATGTTTTCTGGCAAACTCGTAACAGTGTGACCTTGTTCCTTTTACGTACAAATAGTGTTGTAGTATTTTGCGTTGGTTTTCGTAGTCCAACTCGAGGGCGGCGTCTGACATCTTTTTTTTACTTTACAGTGTTTAGGAATGAAGGCATCCTGGTCCTTTTTTATTTTTAGTTTTGTAAAATTGATCGTGAAAATGTGTAATGTCTAAGAGACTTAATTTTTTGCAATGAAATTTTTTGTCGTTTGGTCCGTGATTACAGGTAGGTACACCAGGGGGCATTTTGGCCGAGTACCTATAAAGAAAACGATTTGAGTTAAATATACATCTAAAGTAAAATGATGTATGATAATCACGGTAAAACTGAATTAAAATACTTCGTGATCAATGATCCTCGGTTCGATATTTAGAAAAAAACTAAAATAAAATCCATCAAAAATATTAAGCACATTTCTAAAACTAAAAATAGGCTTTTAATCAAAACAAAATTTGAAAATAGGTCCACAATAATTGGTCGAGTCTCTTTTGAAGTCGGTTAATATGTTTGTTCATATTCCGCTCACTCCCACGGGAACATAAAATCGGGATAAAAACTATCCTATGTGTTAATCCAGGTTATAAACTATCTGTGTACCATTTTAGCCAAATCCGTTCAGTGGTTTTTGCGTGAAAGAGTAACAAACATACCTACATACACATACACATGCATACATCCTCACAAACTTTCGCATTTATAATATTAGTAGGATATATTACCGCGTAAAAAGTTAAATAAAATATTAAAATACAACCACTGAAACTATTATTTTCTATCTACAAGTAAGTACACTAAATTTGACAAAATAATAATATCGAATCAACGACAAAAAATATTCAAATACGATTTTTGATCTGACGGTACAAACACGCTTACCTTTCTTCCTTTGCTTTCGCACGTTTCCAGGTTCCCGGTGCTCTTCTCCGTTTTCTTGCCTTTTCCGGTAAACACTCTTGAACATTTTTCTCCATTTTGTAAACGTTTTTCCTTATATTCAATTAATTAAGCTATAAACTCAATAAAATACAGCAGCGATTTGTCAAACAAAACTCATCAGCGGCCATATTGTTTATCGAAATGTTAGCGCCTTGTGATTGGCTGATGTGGATAATGGCGTTCTTGTAATTGAATGTTTATGGACAGTAGCGTTTTTGCACCATAACATAGTTTTAAAACGTGTTTTTCTATGGGACAGTGGGAACATTGCTTTGAAATCATCAGAATGTTATTAAAGTTTACAAAAAGATCTAATAGATGGCATCATTAGTTAGGTTTTGATAAAAAATGGACAGTGGTGCCTTTGCTTTTGTGCTCTTATATACACTTGTATGTATATTTTATTTACATTTAAAAACATTAGTTATTAGTTCTTTTATAGCAGACAACTGTGTCCTTCGATCACTTATAAACATACAGTATACACTAACTAAACAACGTCTAACACTAAATTAGGACGCGCACGATGAATAGCGTGCTACTAGATCAAATTTGCGTCACACGTCCTCTCCCAACAGCGCTGCTGCTATAACTAGTTGCCGCTAGATATTGATACTTAATAGCGCCAAAGCGCCATAGCGCAATAGCGCCAAAGCGCCTTAGCGCCATGGCTACTACTTACACAGCTCGCGCTATGTGTTATGGAGAGATAGCGCGCTATAAAATGGCGCTATGCGCTATATTAACCACCATTACCGTAGAGTTTTAGTAAATGATAGAAGTCTTTTGGTGTATAAAGTTTCTTTAGAGTTGTTTACGATGAGGCAGTATCTTTTTTTTATTTATTTGGAGAATTTTTTGAGAGTGGGAAAGTATCGGCTGGTTGCGCGATAGCAGATGTCTGCCATATTGCACTCACTAGTCACGTGACGCCAACAGTGCGGTGGCAACACTTCACATACCTGAGTGACACGGTTACTAACAAACTGCTTTAATTTGTAAGCTTCTGTCTGAAGTCACGCCAACACGATAGTCGAAAAGGTTAACGCAGTGATACGAGTAATTTTTACACGCGTTAAAATGTCACGGAAATATTTAATTAATTTGCTTAACGGAACTGACGCCTGACTGATGGTAATGACTAGAAAAAATGACTAGCGCCGCCCATTAACAACCTTTTATGTGTTTAAACAACACCTGTGCTAACGACTCGTGCCGCTAATTATACTAACGCTGTAGCGTAGTTTTGACTGCGCGAGTATTTAGTCGAGTACTGATTAACATAGCAACTAAAATGTAAGTATTTTACTGGCCAAAAATAGTTTACAAGTGAGTAGTATTTTGTATGCAAATAAAAAAACGTTATATAATAAAATGCTGCCTATAATAAATTACTAAAGATACTCGCCTCAATTACTAGCCTATTCCGAACTAGACTAACCTTTTATGCTGTAGTACTCAGACATAGTGGTGTCTGTACGATACCAATCCACATAATGTTATCAATATTCTTTAATTTTATTTGGAAGGTGGAGTGTTTTATTTAGAAGAGTGGTTCAATGGTGGTTGGCAAAGTACTTGATTACTATGCTATGAATTTTTAGTTAGAGTAGGATTGATATTTAGTTGGTTATTTCAATCTCTGACTCTATCCTAATCTAATCTTATTGTGTAGGAGTTACATAGGATAGAAAGGTTGAGAACAGTGATTAGATTGACATCTTTTGATTATATTTGGAAGTTGTTGCACTGTGTGGACTTTTGAAGACATTAATATCGTCATTGTGATGTTGTGGCCTTTTCATTCGTAAAAAACATACCAAATACTGAAGCTTACCACTACCGATTTCGGTTGCCAGATATTTTTTTGGCAAATTATGATTCTTTGATAAATAAGCTAATCTGGTTTAATTATTGACTTATACAGAACTTCAGTCTGAATTCCAAGAATCCTGTGCTGCACAAAATAACTGAGCATTTAATTGAAGAAGCGTCAACAGAAGAGGAAGAACTTCTCGGTCTAGAGGCAACATCTGAACCGGCCGCAAGTGAACAACCCGACCCTGAGTTGATTCGCGTTTTGGATCGTCTCGTACTCTACTTACGTATTGTGCACTCGGTGGACTATTACAACCACTGCGAGTATCCATATGAAGATGAAATGCCCAACCGTTGCGGCATAATGCACGCGCGTTCCGGACCACCAGCTAATAAGGTGCTCATAAATTCATTCCGATTACAACTTCTTTATTAATTTATTTCTATGATAAAATGTAATTCTATTAAAATTTATAAATTAAAATTATTGTACATATATATTGAATGTATATATATATATATATATATATATATATATATATTATATGTGTGTGTATATATTATTAATATATTTTTTTAAATATTATTTTTAATAATATTTTTTTCATATTGAACGTTGCACCTATCCGTCAAAATATAAAATTATAATGTCCTTTTATTTTCGGTTTTTCAGGCAGAAATCGCTTAAAGCGATATGACCACCGCTTGTAGTCATAAGTTTTCCGTTATTGTAATAACTTTGTTCCAATGCAATAAAGAGTTATCTATATCTTTTAAAAGCAAGGGTAATTAATGACCCGATCAAATTATTTGAAACATATTAATATTGTACAATATATTAAATAAGTAAATGTATATCTTAAACTCAATTACCCTTCTTATTTATAGCCAACACAGCAAGAAATACAGGACTACATTAAGACTTTTGAAAGCAAAATGTCTGCTTTCCTACAAGATGCTAAACCACTTTCTGATGAGGAATTACAGAAACTTGGTATTAAGGTGAGCTTTATGTTTTAAGTATTTTTTTTGTTACGTAATTTATTTTTTGATGTAATTTTTAAACAATATAATATATTTTTACAGGATCCGGATGTAGAAGTAGAAAAGTTTATCCAGGCCAATACACAAGAATTATCAAAAGACAAATGGTTGTGCCCCCTGAGTGGTAAAAAGTTCAAAGGTCCGGATTTCATCAGGAAGCATATTTTCAACAAGCATGCTGAGAAGGTAAATCTTCTCTTAATATAACATATAATTTATAAGAAACTTATGAGTACAAAATGGAGGGCATCAGCAGTGAAGATAATGAATTGTATATAGACTGAATTCTATTTGAAAGAAAGAGACATTTTAATATTATTTCATATCGTAATATAATGTCAGGGAAAAGTTTCTTTGTATTTTAATAAACAAAAAGTTTAATTCCGTTTAACTTTTTATAAGAGGGGTATATATTTGCCATTTTGTTCGATAACTTGTTGGCATCTTGTAGGTAGTGATATAATCCCATTGCTGTAGAAACCTTGGGATATTTGATTAAAAAAAATGGGCCAAATAGTTTTGACAGTTCTCTCTTGATGTTAACCTAACACTACCCAAAGAATTCTGAAGAGACCGAAACAAGTGAAAATCAGCGGGTGTAAGGTAGATACATTAACACTTCCGCATCAAGCCCCCCCCCCCCCAATTTTTCCTGAATGGCCAAAGATGTGTGTGGTCTGGCGTTATTATGATGAAAGACCACTTTTTTATGTTGACCAATTCTTGCCGTTTTTTCTCAATTTCTTGCTTCAATCTCATTAGTTGTTGGCAGTAGAGATCCGAATCGATGGTTTTGCCCGGCGGTACAAAAATGGCATCGTTTATTATGAGATAAACGAGATGCCCTTCCAATACAGGATGCCGATATGTGAAATTGTGCTCGTTAAGTCGTTAAGTAAATATGTGTAACGTTAAGTGGTCACTCAAAGAAACAAAGAAAGACTGAGCAACGAGTATATTTTAAGTGATGCCAAAATTATTTTCGACTTCTTGGTTACGCACTTACGCACACATGTTTCTTTTTTCTTGTTTATCACTCGGTAAAAATTCACTGCTTTATGCATACGTATGCACCTAAAACCTAAAACCATTTTTTTCTTCTAATAAGGATGACAAACAAAGTCGTAGTCCATCTGATGGTAAGCGGATGTTGTGATCCATAGACATCTTCACATGTTTTCGATTAAGAATCAAAATGCAGATGTGTTATCGCTGCTGAGGACTAAGATGGAATGCCTCGTTTTCTGAAAAAATGGTCTCCGGTTACACACATCACACGAAACACAGCAGCATGAAGCTTACTTACTTTTGCTAGAGCGTGGTCCTTGCCCGGACGTTTCGACTTACTAGTGCTACAACCATAATATAGCTACAACCTGGCTCTCCACGTGTTGTATACGTAAATTCGTGTTCTTACAACTACTTGAGCATGGTTTTGACTTGGTTATCTCATTTGAAATGTGGGCAGCGGTATATCTTTCATTATTTGCTGGTCTATGTGTGTATATGTGTATAAACTTAACAATAGGCAGTGTGGCCAGGTACCTTCGCCGTAGGTCGAAGGCGAAGTTTTATAGCCGGAATTCTATCGCGACGTTTGTGGCCGCGGCATATGAATGAGCACGTTTTGTCCGATGTACAGGTGGAGGAGGTGCGGCGCGAGGTGGCCTACTTCAACGCGTACGTGCGCGACGTGCGGCGCCCGCAGCAGCCTGAGCCGCCCGCGCGCCCCGCGCCTGCTCACCACGCGCCGCCGCCCGCGCCGTATGTACACTCACGCACGCACGCACAGTACACTCGCACGCACGCACAGCACACTCGCACGCACACACACTCGCACGCACACTTGCACGCACACTCGCACGCACACACGCACACTCGCACACACGCACACTCGCACACACGCACACTCACATGTGTGCATGTTTAAAGTCACTATTAAACTATATATAAACGATACATGCATAATATACTACAATTGTGTCCTCACTTCAAAAGTGTCACACACACACGGACACACACACACACACACACACACACACACACACACACACACACACACACACACACACACACACACACACACACACACACGCACGCACGCACGCACGCACACACACACACACACGCGCACACACACACACCAAACGGGGCACACACACACACACACACACACACACACACACACACACACACACACACACACAACCCTACACTGCATACTGCCTTATACCACTATTTTATTTAGAGTTTGATTTCGGCCATATTTCTTTGCCGGCCTATGTGTCATAAACGTTTTTTTACTTTTCGACACCGAATTGGTATATCATAAATTTGTGCCAATTCACCACCTGTCGGTGTTTCTGCTGATCGGTAAGTTTGGGTGTTACCTATTTTGAACATAGTTTGCGGAGAAAATGGTGATTGTGAATAATGAGATGGCTTGCAAAACTGCTGATCCAATATCCAGTTCTCGCCCAAGAGCTATAGTAATTCGATGATTTTTAACGCCTGCATTTTGAGAATTGTTTTCTTAAGTCTTTGATTTCATATGCCGGATGTCTATTGACAGGGAACAGCGTTATAAGTGTGAAAATCTAGTGTTTACAGAATAAAAAATAACTTTTTATTATTATACTTGTGTTTTTTAATAAAAAATTTATAAAATATACTAAGTGGCCATTGTCAAATTTATTTTATTTGTATTAATAGTATATTATTTCCTTAAAATTTTTCTGTCAGTCTTTTGACTTTAACATATAAATTACTCTTATAATAATCATTATAATTATTGATCTATTTCGGATATTTTGTATCCAAATTGAAATGAAATAATTGATGTGCAGGTACGGCGGCGGTCCGGGCGGCGGGGGGCCGCCGGCTCGCGGCTGGGGTGGGGGCGGAGGGGCGCCACCCGCGCCCTACGCGCCGCGACACCCGCGCTTCTCGCGCCCCAGGTACATGCCGCACGCACACACGCACACGCACGCTCGTACGCACGCAACTACATTCACGCACTAATGCACAAGCAGATTAGAATAGGATTGGTTTTGTCACACACACACTAACACACACACCCACCCCGATACACTCACACACTAAAATATCTTTTACTACTCGCTCTTGATAAATAGGATTGGTTTCTAAAAATATCAATAATTATGCCACCATCATAACACGCCGCCAATTTTATTATGTAACAGAATACGTTCATATTTATAGATGGGCCGTATACATATGTATTTCACCGAATACGAATATTCAGCTGAAAGTTCGATAAAACTTACCGAACCGAATATTCGGCCGAACATTATTCGGCAGGATCACCTCGGTAACTAACCAATTTATGGCGAAACTTGTTACCGTAAAACTCGTGGGATTAGTGCCGGACCCTGACCCTCTCCCCCGCCACACCTCACATGTTATTGGATAATCTAGTACTGAGTACTGATTGTCGGCACATGCTTAAATTTAGACTATTTGTGTGAGAAAAAAGTATTTCGTTGTGTTATTATTAGTGAAAATTGATAAATTATGTGATAAAAATGAGTGGCAGGAGATTTATTTGGACTTATTTTAGGGAAACTGACGACCAAAGTAAAGTGAAATGTACTAATGTGACACTGTACAACTAGATTTAACCCATAAATATACTTTCAACAGTAAAATTATGAAAAAAATGGCATTACTCAATTCGTACATTTCAATACAGTGGACACTTTGAGTACCACTTTAACGAATGTTCGGTGATCTAGCCGAATATTCGGCCGAATTCATATATTCGCTAAAGCTGCCGCATTTGCCGAATACCGAATATGAAACGAATATTCAGCCCATCTCTAGTCACAATATGAAATTAAATTTAAATAACATTTAAAACATTTATTTATAATCTCTCACGCCTATCGATCCTGCACCACTCTTGTTTTTTTGTACATCCACATATCTACGCATAAAGCGAGTCACAGACTACGCAGATACAATAGTATTTTATCTGCGTATAAACTACTATTGTATCTGTAAACACTTAATTATCTGAAAGTATCACATACTATACGTTATACATGATAATATACGAAAGGATAAATTCACTCGAAATCCTTCGAACTTACTATAGTCTGATTTTTCGTTCCGTAGAATTCTGACAGCTATCATTTTTTGAAATGTCAGAGATTACAAACCTTTTTGGCCGGGCACATTTTTCAATTTCAATACGAGTCTGAACATTTGGGTCTATACATACAAGTGCGGTGCTCCACATTATAAGTGGTAATTACGTCCCTTTTCATCACAAACAGTAAAAAACGCACAAATAAAGATAACATATTTTTATTAAAGAGTGCGACTGTGTCAATCAAATCGTCGAGATTGCACATCTTATCTTCTTTTTGATTGTATTCCTGATACATTCTTGCCATTTATCAGGAGTAATATTACTTATACTTTCCAATAATAGTTTTTATTAGAGTTGGACCTATTAGCCGCCGACTAATCGGTGAAGCCGATTAATCGGCCTATTTGTAGGCATCGATTAGTCGGCGATTAATCGGCTTTTTATTTTATTAATTTCAGCAAAGGTTTTTCGTGATTTTCTGTGTGGTAACTGCGGCTACATTGATATAAGTAAAGCTTTAAATTTAAGAAAAGTATAGTTTCTCTCCCGTGCGTAAACTCACGTCAGATTTATATGAATGTGAATCAAATAAATAATAAAATAAGTAGTTTCATACATAACTTTTATTGAAAAATCAGTCTCACATATTCTAATGTAAATATTCTGGACATAGGAACTTTGGTAAAAAAAGAATCTGAGGTAGCTATTTAAAACTAAACAAAAACCTAAGTAATTACTTTTTTAATTCTACGTTTTAACTTTTTCTAATCGTAATGCAGAGTAGTAACAACCCAGAATAAAATATTAATAATATTATTCTTAATGAACTTAAAAAAAAAACTAATTTTAAGTTTCTCCCTTTACATAACAAAAAAGATACTTAATTCTTGAACAAAGATTGTTAAACTACACGCATGTAGATTGTTAAAAGACAAATAGAAGATACTTGTTTCTGTACTTAAAACTAAATTGATATTGTTTTTTTACAAAAAATTAAATCAAATTGTTATTTTTCTGTACTTAAAATTACAATAATTTTTTCTGTAATGTTATTAAATAAAGAATCTACAATCATCTAACAATTTGTTAAAAAGAAATACTCAATTTTAAAAAGTATAGAAGGCTTTTTAGAAAATATTTAATTTATTTGTTATTTTTAACCAGTGGCAAATTGTGGTGCAAAAAGGCCAAAATCTCAGCCTTTTCTGGTTTAAGTCGATTTCCTTTTGTTTCGTAGATACTAGATATTCCCTGCCTCAGAAAAAAGTCTCTCACTATAGACAGAGCTGGCAGGGCAGCAAAGGTAAACTTTGGCTAAACGGGACATTTCTGGATAACTGGAAGAATTTTTGTTCCACTATTTGAATTTATCATTGGATAGGGGTCGGCTGGGCCGATTGATCGGCCGATTAATCGGTCATTTCTTAACCGATTAATCGGCCAATCGGCCAATGTACTAATCGGCCCAACTCTAGTTATTATGACTTTGATGCAGGTGTTGTATTAGCGTTTACTAAAAGGCGAAGAATTTATATAGAACATCATATTAAGTTTTAAAAGGATCGATGCTAATTTAATCGCATTTTTGAGCGACCATACTGTTTTAATCTGCGGTTAAAATCCTGTGTCATATTTGTATCTGTTATTTGCAGATATATTTGTACGAGCAGATAATATTGTCACCTTCTTTCGATATACGTCGCTGCTTAAAGATATAACGATAAAATATAAATAAATTATCTGCGCTGTGTGTGTTAGTTCATTGAATTTCATAGAAAGCAATATTGAAAGATATGCGCTCAGATACAGATATCTTGTTGTATCTGCGTAGTGTGTGACTCGCTTAAATCTTCGTCAGGGCTCAACTTCAATATAATAGGTCGGAGAAAAAATTTCTTCGTATTTCGTTTGTATTAAATTGAAGAAAAGTCTCTTTGGTTGTACTATTTGTATCTGGCTGGTTTTAATATGAATACATATAGGACTAAGAAAAAGAAAAATAAAAAACACTTTCCCCCGCCATTTTTCAATTGTTATTCTGTCCGCCAAAATGAGTGAATCTAACGAAGAAATTCGATATATTCTGCAGTTTTATTACAAAAAGAAAAGTGCGACTCAAGCCGCGAAAAAAATTTGTGATGTGTATGGACTTAATGCAGTGTCAGTTAGAGAGAGTAGCACAAAGCCAGTTCAAGCGTTTTCAGTCCGGGCATTTTAATGTCAAAGATGCAGCTCACTCTGGTGGCGCTCATACGGATAAAATCGATGCCAATTTTTGAAAAAGTGGAGCAACATCAGCATATTAGTAGTTACGACATGGCCGATGAATTGAGGATTGACCAAAAAACAGCTTTGACCCATTTGAAAAAGTCTGGCTATACAAAAAAGCTTGATATTCGGGTACCACACGAGCTCACTGAAAGAAACCTAATGAATCGTGTACTCATTCTCTATTGAAACGTAATGAAACGGAACCATTTTTCAAAAGAGTGATCACTGGTGATGAAAAGTGGATCACCTACGACAAGAACGTGTGAAAAAGGTTATAGTCAAAGGTTCGGATCTCTACTGCTAACAACTAATGAAACTCAAACAAGAAATTGAGGAAAAAATGGCTGGAATTGATAAAAGGATTTTTCATTTCTGTTCTTAGTCTATATTAATGACTTATCTTGTAGCGGACAATCATGATATACTTATTTGCTGATGATACCTCTTTAATTTTCAAATCCAATCGACAGTCAATTAATTATGACAATGTAAATAATGCTCTATCGAAACTAGTACATTGGTTTAGTGCTAATAATTTGCTCATAAATGGCAATAAGGCAAAATGTATTAAATTTACAATACCTAATGTTAAACATTCAAATACCAATGTGCACTTTAGTGGGGAAGAGTTGAGTCTTGTGGATACCACTATTTTTCTTGGTGTTACTATTGACACGAAGCTTCAATGGGGCCCCCATGTCTCTAAATTAGCAGGCAGACTTAGTTCTGTCGGGTTTCTTGTTGGTTCTTCCCAGGACAGAGGTTTTTTTTTCTGAACCAGTGGTAATTAAAAAATGACTTTCAATAAGTATTATACAATATCTATATTAAATAAAAATAATTCATTTCATTTCATTCATTTCATGATAACGCCGGACCACACACATAGCAAAAATTGAGAAAGCTTGGTTGGGAAGTGTTAATGCATCCACCGTATAATCATGACCTTGCACCCTCAGATTTTTACCTGTTTCGATCTCTTCAAAATTCTTTGGGTAGTGTTAGGTTAATATCAAGAGGGCTGTCAAAACTACTTGTCGCATTATTTTGATCAAATATTCCAAGATTTCTACAGCAACAGGATTATGTCACTACCTACAAGATAGCAACAAATTATCGAAAAAAAAATGGCACACACGTATATTATAATTAAATGTAATAACACTTTAAAAAAAAGTCTTGAATTTGCATATAAAATACGAAGAAACTTTTTCCCCGGCCTATTATGTCGCAAATGACTATCTGACATCCTTATTAGGTATTATTTTCCGTGCTAAGTTTATTCTTATTCAAGGTCGAAAATGACAAATTGTAATCTTATGTGTCGTTTATACATACTTTAATAGTGCCTTTAATTACAATAGGAAATGGAAAGTTACAGTGTAACCCACGCGTCATATTTTATTTGTAACTTATACTAGTTTTAAAGCCATTTAAGGATACTTAAATATTGATTCCTATTGGCTCTTCGCCTCCACCCCCCGTCGCCCCCATATTACATTACAATATTGAATATTAATTAGTAATGATCTGGATTATAGCCCTAATTTTTAACTCTTAAAAAAACAAGCA